GTGGCTGTGGGGGATGGAGTGGTAGGAGGAATGAAGGAGAGCAGCAGTTAGGTGAGGGTGGGGTAGGCTTCCCTGAAGAGGTGGGTTTTCAGGGAGCGCCTGAAGGTGAGGAGGGAAGGTGACAGTCTGATGGATTGGGGTAGTGAGTTCCAGAGGATGGGGAAGGACCTGGAGAAGTCTTGCAGACGTGCGTGTGAGGAGGAGACCAGGGAGCAAGATAGAAGGAGGTCCTGTGAAGAGCGAAGGGTACGGGTAGGGTGGTACTTGGGAATCAGGTCGGTGAGGTAGTTAGGGGCAGTGTTGTGAATGGCGTGTTGATGAACGTATCCTTTAAGTATGGCAACACATTTTACAGACTGGCTGAATTCCTGAGCGTTTGGCTTTAAGACTACCGCTTCTGGCCCTTCTATGAAAATACTGGCTTTTTGGCTGTCTCAGGCTTGAATATGATGGCTCACAGACCTGTAATACACATGAAGCAATCTATAACCATGTTCCGGGTTCAGTGATTTTTGAAATTATTTTAACTGGAAGGTCATTATTGCATCCAGGCATCAATCATTTTCAGGAGTACCCCCTTCTCCATGACAGTGAGTGGGAGTTTTTCTTTCCTGCAGCCGCTGTCACATTCAAAGTTACAGGAATCTGTAAATGAATAAACTACGAGTCCCATCTGCAAGTGTGACAGACAGCTTGTAGCTCTCAATGGCCTAAGAGTGTACCGATGAGTGTCCTAACCCATTCACACTTCCTCCAGCTTAACAAAAAGCCTGTACAGAGGTTCAAGCAGAAAGCTGGATGACTTGTCTGCAGGAGCCTGAAGCTGCACCTGTGTGATCCACTGATTGTGGGTGCAATGTTTTGCAGTCTCCTGTAGGAATAAATTTAAAAAATGCACATTATTTTGTGCCAAATTGTGCGCATTTATTACTTTTTTCCCTGAAAAGTAAAAGTATCATACCTTTAAATCCCTTTCACACAAACTGTGTAACAGGGAAAAAAAAAAAAAAAAAAAAAAAAAAAAAAAAAAAAAACACGACCACCTGACACGGTCACACGATAAACAAAAATTGGCATATAAAAACACAGGTTTCGATTTTATGGAATAAACTATTTCCTGTGACTCATACGCATCAGAAACAGGACCACATGCTGCAACCAGACTGATACCTGTCACACAATACGGACAATGGGGAGCTTACATCTAGAGAATGGAACACCACTATATAAAACACACACACGCTGCACAAATAATATATATATATCAGGGGCGGACTGACAACTCATGGGCCCCCGGGCAATTGGTGATCATGGGGCCCCTGTGTCCTTGCCCAAACTCAAAAAAGCCTATTGAAAAAAAAAAAGGTACCAGGGGCATCTCATGGGACCCCCTACTGACCCCAGGCAGTGCCCAAGTTTCCAAATGGTCAGTCTGCTCCTGACATACATACACACACATACATACACACTGATGACAGGTACAGAGGTTTGCTGTACACCTCCACAGTGTGGCCCATAGTAGTGATGCGACCTGCAGACACACGGAGACCTGTGTGCCATGTTTCAGTCTCTACCAGTGTGACAGGTCAGTGATGATAGAAGACCAATGACAGGATCCTTACACAGATCAGACGTTGGCGGGGACCCCCTACCTCCACTGCAGGCTGCGGCAGATCCAGGACGGCCCGGCTACAAGGTGCCACAGCCCCCGGCCGGGTGTAGGACAGTACTGGGGACACGCCGCACTATTGGATGTCAGCGGAGCCCCGTTAGACAGATGCAGAATACAGGCAATATTACCGGGGAAGGGGGGCTGGGATTGGAGGGGTTCAGGAAGCAACACCTAGAATAATGCGCAGCCGGCAAAACCGCCCTGTCTGCCATTGGTGAGCACTGCGGATTAACCCGTACAGCGCCGCCACACTCCGCTGTCACATGTGCGGCATGAAACCATCCCAGCAGCAGCTCCCCCCCCCCCTCCTCCTCCACATGACTACAACCCATGTCCTACCCCGGGCCTGGCCGTCCTTTACTGTGACATGCACACCCCACCACTACAGCCCGGCATCACACACCAATGTCACCAGGCGCACACACCCCGGGGATCGGCCGGCATTTACACCGCACTGCTCCACTGACAGCCCGGCCGGGCACCCAGCACTTGCAGCAAACAGGCTGCGATCATAGGGCGGACACTGCCTTTTCGGGACACCGTGCCCGATCTCACCCGTCCGTCACACCAAATATATGAACACGACCCCATCTACAGCATGACACGGGTCACCCGATCAGGAGGTGACCCGATCAGTGTACAGAGGGTGACCCGATAAAGTGAGTGGCCTCTAGGGCCTGGTGTGTGGGACTGTCCCTTGCAGTGCGCTCAGGCCGGATGGCCTGACAGGTCGGCGCAGGGACAGCCCGAGGCCTCGTCCTCCCCGCTGGGCCTGGGATGAAGGTGAGGCCTGCAGAGAGCCCCGCGGCCTAGTGCCCCGACCCTCCGCCTCCCACACCCGCAACGCCCTTTAGTAATAATAATAGCCTGGCAGAGCTCCTCACCCACCTGCCCATGTTCTGCCTGCCACCTCCTCCTCCTCCGGGTGCCGGCACACTACTCCCTCCGCCGGGCTTCCTGTTATTACCGCTCTGCTTCATGGACATGATGACGGTCCCATAAACCACCAGCGGAGTCGGCGGCAGCTGCTGACAAGCCCGATAGACAGAGCGGAGAGCGGTGGCGGCTTGCCCTCTTCGTCTTCCTCCGGGTTAGGATGGCAGTCTGTGTGAGCACAATACACTCGAGGCCTAGCGAATACGTGAGGCTAGGGGCTGTGGCTGGAGGCCTCGCCGGCTGCTGTGAGGTAAGAGCGGAGCCAGGGGAGAAGCCTCCACCGTTGCCACAGGCGAGCAAGACCAAAACAGTCTGAGGAGGAGAACGGGCCCGCGGAGGAATACGGGGCCAGACGCCGTTACTATATCCGCCGACACCAAGTCCGAGAGCTGAGCGCCCAGAAGAACCGCAGAAGACGACTATAAAATCCGTCCGTGACACTTCTGACCGAAACTGAGGGCCGGAGAGACCGATGGAACAAGTGTAGGTGAAAGGGGAGGTGTCAGGGTAGGGACTATTTACGGGAAGTCGGAAGGATACCTGAGCGGAGGGAGGCGGAGAGTAGACTGGCAGCACGTGAGCCGGTCTGTGCTGCTACTGCTGTGAAGTGGAAGCGGTGCGGGGAAGGGAGCGAGCAGTGTGTGCGCGCGCTATGTGTGTACAGGCTGCTCGGGGCACATGGACTGTCTGTACACCGACAGATACAAGGCGCTGTTTACACGCAGTGCGAGGGACTGCTGACTCTTCATTCATGCTGGATATTGACGCAGAGCACCATGGGTATATAAATACATTCTGTACTGTATGCCTGGGAGCACTCCTAGTTCTAGCCTGACCAGGGGCGGACTGACCACTCATGGGGCCCCTGGGCAATAGGGGATTATGGGGCCCCTGTGTCCTTGCCCAAACTCAAAAAACCCTATGAAAAAGGTACCAGGGGTATCTCATGGGGCCCCTTACTGACCCCGGGCCCTCAGGCAGTGCCCGAGTTTTCAAATGGTTAGTCTGCCCCCTGAGCCTGCCACTACTTCTATAGCACTGACCACATACACAGTGCCTTACATAGTGCACATGGGTTCCTAGGACAACAGCTTACAATCTAAGGCTCCTATCGCACATACAAGGGCCACTTTCACTCAGGAGCCCATTAGCCCACCAGCATGTCTGGACTGTGGAAGGAAACCCTTTCAGGCGCATGCAAACTGCATGGAGACACGGGTTTATTTACTTAGGCTAGGTTTACACCCATACAGTTAGCGTTTGATGCGTTTTTACTGTGCTTTTTGCAGTGTGTTTTGCATTTTTGCACATGCGTTTTATTTTCCTTCTTACTAGGCAGATTGAAATGCAAAACACATCAAAATTGCACTACATGCTTTTCTGCAGCACTTCATTGCAGTCTATAGAACCAAAAACGCAACTTTTTGTGTTTACCCACTAGCCTACAGCAGGGCTTGAAAAAGCCGCTCGCCAAATGCGAGGAGAAATTCCTTTGTAGCGAGCACAGATGAAGCATGGAACGACTGCACCTGCGCTCCAAGCCTCATTGTGAAGCCGAGTTCAGGTTTACAACTTTCGGCTTCTGCGGCACCACCGCCGAGGGGACAGGTACAGGAGAGGTCCACTCTCCTCGCTGAGAGGAGACACCCTTTCCACCGCAGCGGGGGGACTCGGTGTGGGGGGGGGACAGTAAGTACTGTATACAACATGTCCTATCACTATAATGGAGTACAGGGGAGCTGGGATATACATACTGCATACATGTCATATCACTATAATGGAGTACAGGGGAGCTACTGTGTAGTTTTATATTTTGGACTCTATTCTAAAGAAAAATTTAATTTCATAAGCTTTAAGGGGGTGGGGCTGGGGGGGGCAGACCTGGGCAAGTTTGGGTGGGGCAACTGGTGGAGAGTAAGTTTTGTGACCGGCTAGTAGGTCGGGACTCGAAATTTTAACCCCTGGCTTACAGGGCACTTATACACCCCCTTCCTGCCCAGGCCAATTTTCAGCTTTCAGTGCTGTCACACTTTGAATAACAATGCAAAACTTTACCCATATGAAATTTTTAGCATTTTTTTGAGACAGAGCTTTCTTTTGGTGGTATTTAATCACCTCTGGGTTTTTTATTTTTTGGTAAACAAACCAAAAACAACTTGAAAATTTTGAAAAACAAAAGTGTTTGTTATAAAATTTTTTGTAAATAAGTGATTTTTCTCCATTACTGATGTGCACTAATGAGGCTGCACTAATAGGTGGTACTGATGGGCACTGATGTGGAGGCACTGGTAGGTGGCACTGATGGGCATTGACAGGCATCACTGATGGGCACTGAAAGGCAGCACTCATATATGGCACTGTTAGGCGGCACTGACTGGCACTGTTAGGCAGCACTGACTGGCACTGTTAGGTCACACTGATTGGTAACATTGATAGGTGGCGCTGACTGACACTGATAGGTGACACTGAAAGGCAGCTCAGATGGGAACTGATATGTGGCACTGATGGGCACTGGCAGGTGGCATTGATGAGCACCAACAGCTGGTACTGATGGACACTGACAGATGGCACTGTTGGGGCTACACTGATCATCAGTGCCCTGATGATCAGTGTACATGGCCTCTCTGAGGGATGCCGATTACCGTCTCTCCTCTCCTCACGAGCTGTCAGCTGATGTGGAGAGAAATGCTGATAACTGGCATATCCCTATTTACATGCAATCAGCTATGATTGGACACAGCTGATCACATGACGGAGCCAACGTCTTCAGCTCTTTACATTGATTGGTGATCTGCTGTGTCCGAGGGACACAGCGCACCGACCGATCGCCACACTGCGCTCCTCTGGAGCCACGCATGCGCAGTTAGAGTGGGAGGACGTCATATGACATCCTCCCAGAATGAGAGAACCGCCTTGCACCCGTCATGATGTGGCCATAGGAGCAATTGTAATTGAATTTAAAGAAAACAGAAAAACATTGCGCTTCGCATATTTGTGAGACACTTTCTATAATTGCTGAACCGGTTATGTATATTGGTAAATTGGGGAAAAGAGTTGAAAACAGTTGAGTGAGCAGCAGAGAAAGAGAAAATATTTAGATTTTTTAACGGGGCAGTCGATATGAACACAGTAAAGATGAATTCTACATTTCTAGCAAGATGGTATGTTACACCCAGTAGAGCCCATAAGTTACATTCAGAGAACTCATTGCTATGCTGGAGGGGATGTGGGAATGAGGGCACAATGGTACACATATGGTGGGAATGTTCCAAAATACAAGAATTTTGGCAGGAAATAGTTCAACAAATAGTAGAGATTATAGGAGGGCATAGTTAGAGATCCAGGGGTGTGCCTATTCCAACCTTTCTCAACCAGGGTGCCTTGAGATTTCTTCAGGGGTGCCTTGAAAAAATGTCTGAAAATTGCCCAAATCTTGGATCCATGCCAGTGGGTGGAACAAGCCTGCCTTTTAGTTACACAGAGCCACAGGTTTTCATTGTGTGCCATTACGACCTAGCTGCCAGCGTCCTGACAATTAATGACATCATCAGATGATAAGGAGGATGTCAGCTGCCTGCACAGCATCCTAGTTTGACTAGAATTATCTCAGTGATGGAGAAAAACTAGGAGGGAGAAGAGAAGCACTGGAATACTAGTCAGTACCAGTGTGCAAAAGTGTATTTGCTTTGGAAGAATAAATCGCCTCTAATGCTGGGTGTCCTACGTCTGTGGATGTTTCTGCGTTAGAATATTAGAATAGTTTTTCACATTTTAGAATGGGGTGCCTGAAGACTGTCCATAATTTTAAAGGGTGCCTTGACTGAGAAAAGTTTGAGAAACACTGGCCTATTCCATAACACTGATCTAACAGTATAACAATACCATGACACCTCATCTAATGGATGCGGCAAAAGGGCTGACCCCTAAATTTTGGAAGGCCCAAAAAAAAAACCTACATTAAAAGATTGGATAAAAAGAGTAGAATTTATATATAGATATGAATAACTTTATTACAGTGAAGATACAATGGATAAATTCATAACAATCTGGGAAGGATGGTACGAATTTAAAACTACACAGGTTTGCAGAGCTGTTGAAGTAGAACAGTGGTCTCCAAACTTTGGCCCAGGAGCCAGATGCGGCCCCTTGCTTGCTTTCAGCTGGCCCTTGGGGCAATTTTGCATCCTCTGACACCAACAATGGGGCATAATTCACCCACTAACACCAACAAAGGGGCACAGTTCCTCCCAGTGACACCAATGATGGCGTATGATTCTTTCCATCCAATGATGCCAATGATTTCTCTCACTGAAGATGGGGCTTTGTTGACTCCCACTGGTTCCCGGACATTTTCTTCTTGCAATAACCACAGTCTGGCCCCCCCTAAAGTCTGTAAACTGTCCCTTTGTTTACAAAGTTTGGAGACCCCTGGAGTAGAAAAAAATAAGTGAAAAGAGAGAGAGTGATAAGTAGAAATAAAAAAGAGGAGAAACAAAGGTGTGAAGGTGGAATACTAGAGGAAGAAGAAGGACTTCTAAATAGAAAAGTGAGGTTAAGGATGGGGGGGGGGGGTATTTTTTTGGAAACTTTGTAATAAAGTGTAGATGATTAAGTATTAAAGTGTTGGTGGGTTTTGTAAGATGTAACTAATAAAAATATAATAAAGAAAAAGTCCCTGACCTTCTCCAAAAAACGCACTGGGTGAAAATGCAGAGATGTGAACGTGTCCCATAGAAAATCATTGACTGTAGTGCGTTTCTGCACAACGTTGTGGAAAACGCTTAGGTGTGTACCTGGGATAAAGCTGGAGAGTGCAAAATCAGGCTCACTTCTGCATAGAAACCAATCACCTTCTAACTTCAGCCTGTTCAATTAAGTTTTGGCAATGAACCCTGGCAGCTAATTGGTTTCTATGCTGTAACTGCTAATAAAGTAGTGTTAGGTAGGCTAAGGTCACACTTGTGTGGGTGGTTCCCACTGCGGGTCTGCACCTGTTCCCGCAGCCGCAACCACCCACACAGAGAAATAATGGAGATGTGTGCAGGTGCCATTAATCTTAATGGCAGCCTCACACATTGGAAATCACAGCAGCCACTTCCCGCACCTTTTCCCTGCTTTTTCAGGAGGTGCAACATCCTATTCAAATGAATGGGCTGCCATGCTCCTGCAAACCACAGCTCATAGAGCAGCACAAGTGTGAGCCAGGAGGAAAAGTAACACTGTAGGCAAAAGGTAGTGAGAACTGTAGGTATGCTTCTGGGGTGCCGCTCAAGGCGACTTCAGACAAAAATCACCCCACCGGCAGAGGAAGGAAGATGGGAGCAGCGTCTCATGTAACTCCGGAAACTCGACAATGTAGATGAAGAGGAACGCCACTCAAACTGATCCCTGAGAGTCAGGAACAGAATGTAGTGAGATGGCCTCAGCTGTCACTCTGGCCACGCCCTCTGATGAGTTTCAACCTGCCCATAGGGGGTTTGGTCACAGAGCATCTGTGACCAAGCCCCTCTTTGGGTGGGGCAAAACGCATCAGTGGGCGTAGCCAGAGTGATGGTTGAGTCCGTCTCACTACATTCTGTTCCTCTCTGACTCCTGGAGATCGGTCTGAGCAGTGTACATTATCATCTACTATAGGCAAACGGTTTTTCTTTATTTTGGATAAAGTAAAGCTGGGTACACGCTGGCCAAAAATTGTTTGATTCAGCAGAAACCAGCTTTCAGGCAGTGTGTACAGCTGTCTGACAGAAGCCGGTCCAACAACCCACTTTTGTCAAAGGGACATGCTGGAAAACCAGCATCCAATCGGCACTGGCAGCCAATGGCTGATCAGTGTACAGGTGAAACTTGAAAAATTAGAATATCGTGCAAAAGTTCATTTATTTCAGTAATGCAACTTAAAAGGTGAAACTAATATATAAGATAGACTCATTACATGCAAAGCAAGATAGTTCAAGCCGTGATTTGTCATAATTGTGATGATTATGGCTTACAGCTCATGAAAATCCCAAATCCACAATCTCAGAAAATTAGAATATTACATGTCATCAATAAAACAAGGATTGTACATAGAACAATATCGGACCTCTGCAAAGTTTATGCATATGTACTCAGTACTTGGTTTGGGCTCCTTTTGCAGCAATTACTGCCTCAATGCAGCGTGGCATGGAAGCTATCAGCCTGTGGCACTGCTAAGGTGTTATGGAAGACCAGGATGCTTCAATAGCGGCCTTCAGCTCTTCTGCATTGTTCGGTCTCATGTCTCTCATCTTTCTCTTGGCAATGCCCCATAGATTCTCTATGTGGTTCAAGTCAGGCGAGTTTGCTAGCCTATCAAGCACAGTAATCCCACGGTCATTGAACCAGGTTTTGGTGCTTTTGGCAGTGTGGGCAGGTGCCAAGTCCTGCTGGAAAATGAAGTCAGCATCCCCATAAAGCTCATCTGCCAAAGGAAGCATGAAGCGCTCCAAAATCTCCTGGTAGACAGCTGCGTTGACCCTGGACTTAATGAAGCACAGTGGACCAACACCAACAGATGACATTGCTCCCCAAATCGACACAGACTGTGGAAACTTCACACTGGACTTCAAGCATCTTACAGTGTGTGCCTCCATTCTTCCATACTCTGGATCCTTGGTTTCCAAATGAGATGCAAAAGTTGCTCTCTATAGAAAAGAGGACTTTGGACCACTGAGCAACAGACCAGGTCTGTTTTTCTTTAGCCCAGGTAAGACGCTTCTGATGTTGTTTAGGAGCAGCTTGACAAGCGGAATACAACATTTGAAGCCCATGTCCAGGATCCATCTGTGTGTGTTGGCTCTTGATGCACTGACTCCAGCCTCAGTCCACTCCTTGTGAAAGTCCCCAACACTTTTGAATGGCCTTTTCCTGACAATCCTCTCCAGGCTGCGGTCATCCCTGCTGCTTGTGCACCTTTTTCTTCCACACTTTTCCCTTCCACATAACTTTCTATTAATGTGCTTTGATAGAGCACTTTGGGAACATCCAACTTCTTTTGCAATTACCTTTTGAGGCTTTCCCTCCTTATGGAGGGTGTCGATGATTTTCTGCACAACTGTCAGGTCAGCAGTCTTTCCCATGATTGTGATTCCTACTGAACCAGACTGAGAGACCATTTAGAGGCTCAGAAACCCTTTGCAGGTGTTATGGCTTAATTAGCTGATTAGAGTGGGACACTTTGAGCCTAGAATATTGCACCTTTTCACAATATTCTAATTTTCTGAGATTGTGGATTTGGGGTTTTCATGAGCTGTAAGCCATAATCATCACAATTATGACAAATCACGGCTTGAACTATCTTGCTTTGCATGTAATGAGTCTATCTCATATATTAGTTTCACCTCTTAAGTTGCATTACTGAAATAAATGAACTTTTGCACGATATTCTAATTTTTTGAGTTTCACCTGTATATTAGTGGTGGAGGGGAAATCCAAAGATGCAGAGGGAGATTAAAAAAAAAAAACAACAATCTGAACTCAGTTTAGTTTAGAACCTTTGTCACTTTTTTGCTACCTGTGTCCCATTGGGGAGATTTACCTTCACTTCCTGTCTCATAGCCAAAACAGGAAGTGGGAGGAAATCAGGTCACCAGAACTAGTATCCCCATTGGAAGATTTCCTCTCTATTAACTACAAAATTAGGGATTTTCTTTCACTTTCAGTGATAATGGTAAACAGGAAAACAGAGAGAGTGAATCTGCTTAACGGGCACAGACAGCAGTAAACACCTGATGGGTGTTTTAATCCCTCGCTACTCTATCTGAAAGTAAAAGAAGAAAAAAAAAAGGGTTTTTTGCCTTTAATTATACTTCAACTGAA